CATAGTAAAACTTACTTAGGAAATAAAAAAAATTGTGTTTCAGCTGTCGGAAGTTGAAGAAAAGAAAAAGAAGAAAAAGGATAAGAAGAAAAAGCACAAGAAGCAAAAGAAACACAAGAAGCACAAGAAACACAGACATGAGGTAAGCTTATGTGATATGAAGCATTTAACCTCCAAATAGTTGAGTATTTCTTCATATATTTCAGTGGCTGAATTATCAAGAAAATAGCAAATTGTTAAAACTGGAAATGTAATCACATCCTGTGTAGGTGTTATGTTTAATAAAGATTACAATGAATATTGAAATTGCAGATATGAATTGAGTTGACTATGGAGGAAAAGGAGCAAATTTAATGTCCAAAAGCTATAAATGCTTCTTACCTTACTGTTAATCAAGAGAGGGGCATCACTAGCTATGTGTTAATTACTTTATTTACTATATTAATATTTCAATAAAATGGAAGTTTACAATTGCTTACTTAGTTATCGTTTATTATATTGTGTGGTGTATTCGCTCTTTATTCACCTTAATAATGCTTAGTTATGATCCTTTTTAATTAAAGGAAAATTTTTCATAGTTTTACTCCTTTCATATGTAAGTAGAAATATTCTCACTGTTCAGGAGACAGAGAGTGAGTCAGGAGAGAGCATGGGAGCAGAAGAGCTTGAACGGAAGTTACGAGAGAAAGCCCTTCTGTCCATGAAACGTCAGGAGCGATCATCTGCAGCTTCAGAATCGGAGTAGGGACAGGTGCCATTGTGTACACCGAAGATAGAAGCATGGGTAAATTAAAAAAAAAAAAAAATTAAGGCACTAATGTTAGTGAATGCAACGGTTGCTGTGTTGGTATCAGTGGGACTTCTTAAACTGACTGGGTGGTTAGTGCCACATAAAGAATACCTCTCCATGCCACATACCTCTGGACAATGTGTGTGATGTATATACAGTATTTAATTTTATTACAATTTTTTTTTAATTCTTACCTAAGTGGGGAAAATTCATCCTTTACATTAGGTTATGCAAATCATGCTATTAGGATAAAAACTATAATAGTACAATAATTATGGAAAGTGTTAAACTTAGAAGAGCCATTTATTGAAGTGTATAGAACCAAGTAGACTGCTTTCCATCTTCACTTGTTAACCCATAATTATTGTAATTAAAAGAAAAGTACTTTAAAAGTTGAGGGAAATAGTGGTTCACAATTTGATATAATGACTGAATAGAGATTTTTTGACTGGTTAGTTTTTGAGAATCATTGGTACCATTATACATGGAAGTCTGAGAACTGAGACAATGTGTGCATTTTTTTCTTTGCCTAGTGACAAGGTACAGTATTATTATATGCTAACATGAAATGTTTGTCATTAAATTATATTATGAGGAAAATTATTTTTGTCTATCGGGGTAGTCTAAACCAGTTTTATAGCATATTTCTCTTAAGAGTTGACTCTTAATCACGTAGGTTATTTTTTTATATCCACTGTATATATTATTCAAACAAAGTAGCAAACACTGGTCAAAGGTAAAAGCGAACCCATATGGAGAAAATAAAGCAGAAAGTATGAGCAGCACTATAAATTTTGTGTACAATGAATCCCTCAGTCTGCTGAAGAGATGAAATATTACCTTCCATTTCCTTTTCTCCATTCGAGTTTGCTTGTAAAAAATGTTATATATATATACTGTATATAAATTTTGGAAGTTCACAACAGTACACTACATGGTTGTTCATTCAGCAGTTTTTCTTATAAATAGTTGCAAAATGTATGTCAATTTTTGTATCTTTACTATGCACAGTATTTGCAGTTTTTTTTTTTTTTTTTCTTTTACTGTAAATGTTTATAAGAAATGCTAAGCCACAGTTTACCGATTGTGATTATGTAAATGAGTAAAATGCTGTTAATAAAGATTTTGAATGAAAGTATAAATAGTTTTAAAATCCACTCTCTCATTAATGTAACTAGGAAAAATGTAGAGGAAAACTTAACAAGTGATAAATGAAAACATTGTGTTGAAGTCTTATACATACACTATGAAGATTACCCAAGTTTCTATTGAACCTCCATGCTCCCCTTCCCCACCTCTGAAGAGGAAACTGAAGACGTCTGTTTATTCTGGACCATTATCAAGTTACAACAAAATTGGAAGAAAACCAAAAATGCTTGGTGATAAAAGTATAAAACAGGTCAGGAAGCTAGTTATAAAACATATATTGGCATATTTTCCCAGGTATTGGCCCCACCTTTGATACAAGACTTCCTCTTTGACTTGTCAGCAACAACTTGATTTCACCAATTTTGATACTACTACCCTTTCGTACTCCTCCCCACCCTTCCTAACTACCTCTCAAACACTTCACCCCCACTGGTCTCTGATCAGGCATATTATACCTTTAGCACACCCTATCCTGCAGTGCTGTATGACCCTAGTGGGTTTAGCAGTTATGATTGTAATAATAATACCCTAGGTGCCATATGACCAGTACAGTTCAGGGATCTTTCTTTGCCCCATGAATGTGGGTGGATAATCAGCTGTGCAAAATACATTTTTCAGTATTTATTTGAATTTTTTACTGCTGCAATCCCAAAAATTAGAAGTCCTGTTGGTTTCACTTTGTTTTTTAGGAAGAGTTCTTCTAAAATGCAGTCTGGACACAAAAAGCTGCTCATTTAACCATCCTATACAGTGCAGAATTCAGTAATTTGGCCAATTTGACAAATTCCATTTTAAAAACCAATTCAAACACTAGGCATTCTAGCTGCTAAAGCAACCCTTCCTCTGTTCATTAATTACATCCCTGGGCATCTCCTATATAACATTTGCCTTTCATTTTGAATCCATCATACAAAAAAATACAAAAATACCCTATTTCTCAGCAAATAAAATATAACTCAAGAAATAGTCATGTTTATCCCACCCCAATAATTGAAGCAAACCTAGTAAAAACTTGAAACAGACTAGGGGAGGGTAGTGAGGCCCCAACCCATCCTTGGGAAAATTGCTAACAGCTGAATATTTCTACTTTGAGGGCTATTTCAAGCCACTACTGGTCTGAAACTTAAAAATATCATTGCCATTTCACCAATACGTCTTCTACTCTATCAGCTGATACAAAGAAGCAGCCAATAAAATCGTGAAAACCACCCTAGAACATGCCTTAAAATCACTATTTTAAACCTAGCATGTACTGTGTGGGGTGGCAGGATTTTATACTTCACACCCACTGTACTTCCCATTCTAATGTCTAGGCTAAAATATATCACTTGCAGCCTGTTTCAGGGCACCACGATTAAGATGTCAGTCTTTGTAAATGGTACTGGCTTCAATAAACTTGCATCTATGTGAGAAACAGTGAAAGAGTTAACACCTACCATCTCCCACCAAGGTTGGGTGACCTGAAAATGGAAGAAACTCCATCATCACTTATTCAATCACTATTGCCAGAAGTGTGCTAATTAGAATTAAGATGGCCCTCTGAACTGTAATATCACCACCCTTCTTTCAGAGTGCAGGTACTGTACTTCCATGTCCAACTAACCAGTGTTCCTGAATCTATTCAATAATGTTGTCCTGCTTGCACATCAACAGCACGTAAAGCCATAAAAGCTACTTGCCTCCACTTGCTCTTATTTAAAGCACTCGCACAAGCCTTTTGGATGCCTGGACATTGTACACCTACCTCTCCTCGAATCAATTTCAGAGTAAGATTCCTAAGGGTTTAGTACATCCTCGTAAACGTAATAAAAGATACTCTGTCACTCCATTTTTTGGGGGGAGCTGACGGATAAGCCCTTCTTCATTTATCTCAGCCTTAATTTTGCCCAAGATAGAAAGACCAAATGTATTCCTCAGCCTCTGCCATTACTCCAAACAAAATGCCATTGCTTTATCAAGGATTACACTTGTGCATAAGAGCTTTTCAATCTTGTACATTCAGTTGTACAGTGGACCCCCGGTTAACGATATTTTTTCACTCCAGAAGTATGTTCAGGTGCCAGTACTGACCGAATTTGTTCCCATAAGGAATATTGTGAAGTAGATTAGTCCATTTCAGACCCCCAAACATACACGTACAAAAGCACTTACATAAATAACTTACATAATTGGTCGCATTCGGAGGTGATCGTTATGCGGGGTCCACTGTACTTACAATTAGCTTCCCCTCAAGGAAGGTTCCTTGATGCTGGTGAGGGGCCCCTTGATCTAGGGAATTGGATCTGTGCTCCAGTTCTCTGAATTAAGCCTGAATACCTTCCACATTCCCCCCACAGGTGCTGTATAATCCTATGGGTTCAGCGCTTCCCACTTTATTATAATAATAATTACAATTAGCGTGTTGACATCACAATTCAGATTACTCTCTGACTGCAATGTCCCCACCCTTCCTTCAGAGTACAGGCACTGCCCATACCTTGGAGAATGGGAGGCAATTAAATCTGATCTAAGGAAAGGGAAGGCAGCTCCAGTTCTTTGGATCAAGAACCCTTCACAGGTTTCAAGGACCAAATTATAATTTGTATAGATGTAATAGAATATACACACTGCAAGGAGTAGGAGGCTTATATGCAAAAAAATCACTTAAGGGCAATGAAATGTTCAACTGACCAAGGAACTTGAGAGTGCTGATGGTGGCAGCTGAAGTAAGTGGACCTTGACTGATCAAGTGACTGTGGGAGTGCTGATGGTGGCAGCTGAAGTAAGTGGACCTTGATTGATCAAGTGACTGTGGGAGTGCTGATGGTGGCAGCTGAAGTGGACCTTGATGATCAGTGACTGTGGTATGCTGATGGTGGCAGCTGAAGTAAGTGACCTTGATTGATCAAGTGACTGTGGGAGTGCTGATGGTGGCAGCTGAAGTAAGTGGACCTTGATTGATCAAGTGACTGTGGGAGTGCTGATGGTGGCAGCTGAAGTGGACCTTGATTGATCAAGTGACTGTGGGAGTGCTGATGGTGGCAGCTGAAGTAAGTGGACCTTGATTGATCAAGTGACTGTGGGAGTGCTGATGGTGGCAGCTGAAGTAAGTGGACCTTGATTGATCAAGTGACTGTGGGAGTGCTGATGGTGGCAGCTGAAGTGGACCTTGATTGATCAAGTGACTGTGGGAGTGCTGATGGTGGCAGCTGAAGTAAGTGGACCTTGATTGATCAAGTGACTGGGAGTGCTGATGGTGGCAGCTGAAGTAAGTGGACCTTGATTGATCAAGTGACTGTGGGAGTGCTGATGGTGGCAGCTGAAGTAAGTGGACCTTGATTGATCAAGTGACTGTGGGAGTGCTGATGGTGGCAGCTGAAGTGGACCTTGATTGATCAAGTGACTGTGGGAGTGCTGATGGTGGCAGCTGAAGTAAGTGGACCTTGATAGATCAAGTGACTGTGGGAGTGCTGATGGTGGCAGCTGAAGTAAGTGACCTTGATTGATCAAGTGACGTGGAGTGCTGATGGTGGCAGCTGAAGTGGACCTTGATTGATCAAGTGACTGTGGGAGTGCTGATGGTGGCAGCTGAAGTAAGTGGACCTTGATTGATCAAGTGACTGTGGGAGTGCTGATGGTGGCAGCTGAAGTAAGTGGACCTTGATTGATCAAGTGACTGTGGGAGTGCTGATGGTGGCAGCTGAAGTGGACCTTGATTGATCAAGTGACTGTGGGAGTGCTGATGGTGGCAGCTGAAGTAAGTGGACCTTGATTGATCAAGTGACTGTGGGAGTGCTGATGGTGGCAGCTGAAGTAAGTGGACCCTTTATGATCAAGTGACTGTGGAGTGCTGATGGTGGCAGCTGAAGTAAGTGGATCCTTGATTGATCAAGTGACTGTGGGAGTGCTGATGTGGCCGCTGAAGTAATTGGACCTTGATTGATCAAGTGACTGTGGGAGTGCTGATGGTGGCAGCTGAAGTAAGTGGACCTTGATTGATCAAGTGACTGTGGGAGTGCTGATGGTGGCAGCTGAGGTTAGCTGGTCTTTAGCAAGCTTGTCAATTTTTGTGTCATTCAGTGTGAAATATGACTTTTCAGAAGAGAAGGAGCTACAGTGGTGTATATAAATATGTCAAGATTAGACTGGAAGCAGAAAAAGTGACAGTCAACAAGCTGTTACAACAGAAAATTGAAGTTGAAAACCAACCAGTCTTTTGGGCTCTATTTTTTGAACTTGTGGATGTAAACAAAGAAGTTTTTTCAAATAAACTCAAGCCTAACAAGTGGTATATGTGAGAACATAACAATTTAGTAATCTTTATAAACCTGAAGATCAATAATAAAGTTGAATAGATGAACAGTGATGGAAAAGAATATATATATAAAAGAATAATTTTTTGGCAAGCAAATCTGGCAACTCTAATTTCAAATTATTTAGTTATTAACCACTAAGTCAATACAGGTAAGTGACATGTATTATAAAAACTAGTAATTTTAAATAAAACTAACACACTTTCTCCCAAATCTATGTTGTGAAGAGTAGTCTCATGAGGGAATCTCACTCGGTAATATTTTTTTGTCATCACTCAAATTCAAATTTTAGTCTTCATTTTTTATGTGGTACAAAAGTAATGTAGTTTACATGTAATAAAACATTGTTAGACACAAAAGAAAGCTACTGATATGTGAAGCATTTTGGGCAGACTAATTCCTGACTTTAACCAGGACATTTTGAAGGTTTAAAAAAAAAAAAAAAGTATGCAGGAAGGCCCAGCTTTACAGTGCTTCATTTTACAGTGTTTCGCTAATACAGCGGTTTTCAGTTATACCCATTCTTCATTTATTCAGACTTCCTATAATAAATATATTCACCACTCACTATAAGCATAGGATGAAAATATTTTAAGGTAAGTAATGTGTGTACTGTACATGCATTTTTCAGGCCTAGCTCTATTGCTCACTTAATATATGACAGCATAAACATGTTATCAGGCTTTTATATGCTTTTTATATGTTTTGTTTTACATACACTGATTTTTTTCACTTTATAGCGGTGGCCCAGAACCTAACTTGCTGTACAGTGGGGCCTGCCTGTACTTGAAATAAAAAGTAGGTGTATTTTCTTTAATGCAAACAAATAAGGGCTAAAATCTACCAATTTCTCAATTTATGAGTATATGATGAAAAAGAACAAAAAGTGCAAATTTTCTGCTTTTTGACTGAAAAACAAAAAGAAAATATTTAATAAAAGATAATGGAATGATGAAAATAATACATATAAACCTACAGTTGTTGATCTAGTGATAAAGCTAAAAAAGACCATGTGCAACTACCTAATTAGAGACAAATTTACGAATATTTGTGACATGGACGTGCATTGTACCAAGACTGACAGCAGAGTCAGCTATCGGCTTAGGCAAATATTACAAGTGCAGACATGTGCAGGTGTAGTAAATTTATTGAGATTGCAACAACAACAGTATACAGTTGTTGCAATCTTTCTGTCCCCGATAAAATGACAAATTGATCAGACCTTTGGGAGAGAGTTTTCAAACCGGGACACTCCTGGTCAAAACGGGATGTATGGTAAGCCTAATCTAATACGTACATGTATGTTCTGAAGAGTAGTCTCATGCTGGAATTTCCCATTAGTAATTTTTTGGGGTCATCACTCAAATTCAAATTTACATTTTTATTTCTTTTTATGTGGTACAAAAATAATGTCGTTTACATGTAATAAAACACTGTTAGACACAAAAGAAAGCCAATGGTATGAAATGCCTGTTGGGGAAACTAATCCTAAAGCTTAAGGACTACTTAAGAATCAGACATAAACTTTTAATAATTTCTTATGCAGTTAACTACAATTATAAACATAATAAGAAAGGTAGCTAATGAACAACTGGTACAATATTAAAAGCATGACTTATTATTTTGAACTAATTCAGTGATCTTCAGTTCAGTAGGATTTCTCGAGCAGTTACCCAGAGTATGTTCGGAGGGCGTTCCTAGAGTCAAAACGCCCCCATGACTTGGTCCATGAACAAGCTTCGCGGTGGATCAGGGCCTGATCAACCAGGCTGTTTCTGCTGGCTGCACCCAAACCAACATACAAACCACAGCACAGCTGGTCAGGTAATGACTTTAAGTTCCTGTCCAGCTCCCTCTTGAAGACATGCACAATAAGAAAGGTGGCAAAATTCCTTCTGCTACAAAGTTAGGTCAGGAAAACCCTGTGTACTCTGTTGCCCTAGCACCACCCATGACACCCCACACCTCACTATCAGAAGCACATCATGACTCAAGCCTCAGTTGCAACATACATTAATGCAAAATAACTGATTTCATTTGGAATAAATCTGAAATAAGTTAAAACATACTGAGGGATGCTATTTGTCAAACAAAAATGTTATCCAAGTACAGTGGACCCCCGACATTTGATGGCATCGACATTCGATAAATCCGACATTCGATGCATTTTAACACAAAAATTTCGCCTCGACATTCGATAAGATTCCTACGAGACATGTCCACATGTGGTCTGAACTGCACCGTGTGTGCCAGTGTTTACAAGCCAGCCAGTGTGCGCGCATCTAAGGATACATTTGGTACATTACATATTATCCATATTATCACTGTTTTTGGTTCTTGTTTCTGCAAAATAAGTAACCATGGGCCCCAAGAAAGCTTCTAGTGCCAACCCTTCGAGAAAAAAGGTGCTAATGACTATTGAAATGAAGAAAGAGATAATTGCAAAGTACGAAAGTGGAGTGCGTGTGATTTGGTAAAGAAATTGCCTGCAACTAGTGGTGATGTGAGTGAATTTAAGGCCAGCAAAGGTTGGTTTGAAAGGTTTAAGAATCGTAGTGGCATACACAGTGTGGTAAGGCATGGTGAGGCTGCCAGTTCAAGTCCTAATGGAAGGGGATTCCCCTTCTAAACACTAACACCATCCACACTCTCCCCTCCTCCCATCCCATCAATCATCACCAGATCTTCATTAAAGGTAAGTGTCAATTATTCTATTGTTATTGTTGTTATTGTAATTATTCTATTGCATTAATAGAATAATCACAATTATTGCATTATTCTATTTCATATGGTAAAATTTTTTTTTTTTTTCATACTTTTGGGTGTCTTGCACGGATTAATTTGATTTCCATTATTTCTCATGGGGAAAATTAATTTGACTTTAGATATTTTCGACATTCGATGGCTCTCAAGAACGGATTAATATCGAATGTCAGGGGTCCACTGTATCTCATCTGTGTCATACATAAAGATGAATGATTATTAACTAACTACTAATTATCAAACCTTTTGGATCTTCACAATTTCGTAGACTAATAGTACAGTACTGTACTTTAATCCCCACTGTATCCATGAGTGACACTCTCTAAAGGAAACTATTAGATAGTTTATTTATGGATAGTGAATTTCCATTTATTGGTACAGTATTACGTTGTGCAAGGGAAGGAAATAGGTACCAGAGTCATGGACAGCATTCAGCTTGTGGGTCATGAGTAATCCGATATACTGTGTAACAAAACTCACTGACATTCAGTGTAGTTATAGTATCATTTATTAGGATATATTACACCTTAAATACTTTAACTTAACAAGAAACTCTTCTATGATAGTATTTTAATAGAGCATTTGATAACCAATATCTGCTAAAATACTAGCTGTATGATATTCTTGGAGATACACAAGAGAGTTGGTGAAAATATATCTAATAATTAGATACAGTCAAATAACCCAAAAAAAAAAATCCCTTGTTCAGCTGTAAAAAATAAGTTTTTGTCTCACATATATGACTTCTTAGGTGACATCCAAGATGAAGGATGCACACCAGACATTACTGTGTATTTTACATACAAGACATTATGGTATTACTAAGAGCTAACAGAAAATATAGAATGACCAATACATTATCTAGTTTTCATAGAGGGACTTTAATTCCACCAATCCTTACAATGAAGCCCATAATGAACATTTGAACCTTGATCTCCATTGGGTTGTCTGTCTCATGGAACCCTGGAACACCAACCTGCTGCAGCGTTGATTGTTGTTCTGTCACCTGTTGAAACACCTCCATGTAGTATCACATTTATTAAGTATAATTCAGATCATTGTCTTGAGAAATAATGTAGTTGTCTTTACAAAATTATTATAATAAGCATGGGAAAGCCCTAAATTCATAAGGGTCAAGAAGTGCCTAGGGAATGGAAGGTAGTCTGATTTGATGAGAGCAGGGTATTTTTCTGTAGGGCAGGAGATCTTTCCCACCATTAACCCTTAATCGGTCCAAACATATATATACATTCTCTCGCGTAGCACCCCAAACGTATATATACGTTTCCTTTGTCATTCATTCAACATTGGCACGATATGCCCGAATCGCCTAGACATGAGAGAATGGGTGTGTGCACTCAGTGTGTGCCATATGAAAACAATTGGGAATGCCTGGGTACTAAATGCTCTTTTTTCCTATTAAAAAAAAAAATTTTTTTCTCTCAAAAAATTTGGGGCGTTGCGCGAGTGAACATATATATACGTTTGGACCGTTTAAGGGTTAAGATACTGGACTCCCTTTGAGAAGTGCCTTTATAAAAGCTTCCTTTGAAATGGTTACATGTAGGGTAGTGTTTCACACTGGTCTTTAAGAAATTTTGGTTTTCACTGACACTGATTTCTTTTAGCAGTCCTAAATATGGTATAAAAGGTTAAGTACAGAGTAAGGATGTGAAAAAAAATATTTATTACAAAGATAAATTGAAACATTTTACTGATCAGGAACAACTACAATGAAATCATAGTTATTTTCTTAAGTACCTGTACTTATCTATATGTACTCATCTACATGTGGTTGCAGGGGCTGAGCCTTAGCTCCTGGCCCCACCTCTCATCTTAACACTTGCTAAATTTACTTTTTTTTTTTTTTTTTCAGACATGATTCTAGCCTAATGGTACTATTGTACTCACTCTTATAACTGTATGAAATCTGCCTTCATCACTTCTTCAAAGGGGTCATTCCACTTCCCAACCACCCTGAGACTAATAAAATATTTCCTGATATCCATTTGATTCGTCAGTGTCTTTAACCCTTTGACTGTCGCGGCCGTATATACAGGAAGGCCCCACTTATACGGCGGGTTAAGTTCCAGGCTACCGCCGTAAAGCGGAAACCGCTGTAAAGTGGAACACCCTTTTTTTCCACTTACAAATGCATACAAACACTAGATAACAAGTTTACACTAACATATATTATGTTAGCAATAGAACCAGGCATCAAAAAACAATAAAAAAGTACAATACACACATAGTGCACTCATTACTTACCTTAAAATATTTATAGTCTTAATCTAGGGTGAGACAAGTAGTATTTATTGTAAGAAATCAAGTGTGGTATGTATTGTAATAGCCAGGCTACCTCACCAGGCCAAACCCCACCCACACATACTATTCTATGATATTTAAGCATCCCAGAGCGATAAAATGTATATACAGTTCACTCATTACTTACCTTAAAATATTTGTAGTCTTAATGTAGGGTCAGGAGTAAGTAAATGAGATAAAACGAATAAATGAGAGAGAGAAAGAATGAGTACATGAGAGGTAACAGGCGCAGAGTTATGTAAACAAACCAGGCTCCCACATCTTATATTTATGTTTATTTATTCTATTGTGGGGTGTATTTATCATCTTTTTATGTTATGTATCGTGTTTATTATATAATTTTGAAAAAAATATCAGGGGATGGATTAATGAAAATGTGTATTTACCGTAATATACGCATTTAATGAGACTCGGTGACTATTGTTATTATGGCGTCACTTGGGGAAGTCGTCTGCTCACATCTCACATTTATTTTTTATTTATTCTACTGTGGGGTGTATTTATCTTATTTATATTTTAATGCATCGTGTTTATTATATAATTTTGAAAAAAATATCATGGAGGGTTTAATGAAAATGTGTATATTCCCGTAATATACGACATTTAATGAGACTCGGGGGACTATTGTTATTATGGCGTCCCCTTGTGGAAGTCGTCTGCTCACATCTCACATTATTTTTATTTATTCTACTGTGGGGTGTATTTATATTATTTTATATTTTATGCATCGTGTTTATTATATAATTTTGAAAAAATATCATGGATGGATTAATGAAAATGTGTATATTACCGTAAATATACGACATTTAATGAGACTCGGTGAGTATTGTTATTATGGCGTCACTTGGGGAAGTCGTCTGCTCACATCTCACATTTATGTTTATTTATTCTACGTGGGGTGTATTTATCTTATTATATGTTATGCATCGTGTTTATTATATAATTTTGAAAAAATATCATGGATGGATTAATGAAAATGTGAAATATTAACGTAATATACGACATTTAAATGACTTGATGTATGTAAGTTTATTTAGGTACAGGTATACATAATTTATAATTATCAGAGTATATATAAAATATGAAATAACTTTTAAAAACATTTGAAATTTTGGAGTTTCCAGACAAAATGGAGAGACTTAGTGCTTACTGACTCATGGAGAATGTAAACAAACAGGGTGGGGCACGGTGACCGTATTAGAAAGTCAGGTGGGGGAGCCGTATAGTGATTTTTTGGTCATAATTTGAAATGTCCGTATTAGGGGAACGCCGTAAAGTGAAACGCCGTAAAGCGGGCTTCCTGTATACGTTTGTGAGGAAACCGTGTTTGACGTAAAAATACTCATAAATTCTAGCAGCTTCAAATCAGGCAGGAAAAAGCTATAGGCCCACATGTGAGAGAATGGGTCTGTGTGGTCAGTGTGCACCACATAAAAAAAATCCTGGAGCACGCATGCATAATGAGAAAAAAAAAACTCCGACCGTTTTTTTAATTAAAATGCCGACTTTGTGGTCTATTTTCGTATAGTATTTGGGGTTTGTTTTCTCGTTTTCATGGTCTCATTTGATAGAATGGAAACTATATTATAGAAATGGAGGTGATTTTGATTAATTTTACTATAAAAAAAACCGGGAAATGGAGCCAAAGAAACAGGAAATGTTTGATTTTTGCCGATGTTCAAAAGTAACAAATGATGTCATTGCCCAAATTAAATGCCCAAAATTTAGCCATTCTAATACGCAGTCAGAATGGGTTGATGTAATTTTTTTCAATTATTACAGTATTTGCAGTAGTCTGCATAACAGTAAATCTTCTATTTTTTGTTTGAATAAAATTTCAAAAAAAAAGCAAGAGTAATATCCCCAGGGACCTGGAGACATGACTGAAGAACAAAGAAAATCTTATTTTAGAGCCAGGAATGTCTGCATTGTTCATTTGGACCTTATTTTGAAAATTTTCGTATTTTTTAATTTTCGTGAAATTGGCCAAATTGCAAATTTCTGACCATGTTATTGGGTAGTTGAAATCGGTAAATGGGCATTTCTTGTGCTCAATCGATAGAAAAAATAGAGTTTTGAAGAAATAGTTATGAGTTTGGTGACTGGAATAACGGAATTAGCCGAAAATAGGGCTCAAAGTGGGGGAAATTGCCCATTTTTTAAATATCGCCGAAGTCGCTAACTTCGCGAGAGCGTAATTTTCCCTCATTTTCCATCAAATTTCGTTTTTTTGGTGTCTTTACAATCGGGGAAAAAATTCTCTATCATTTCATAAGAAAAAATAATTTTTTTTTTTTTCGAATATTTTGCGACACCAGGAGCAACTTCAGGATTGGGCCCTTCGACAGTCAAAGGGTTAACTTCCAGCTGTGTCCCTGAGTACCTGCTGTCCCCCTCTCAAACAGCCTATCCCTGCCTGCCCTATCAATTTTGTATTTTGTTATCATGTCTCCCCTTGTTCTTATGTCCTCCATAAGGACCTTTCCTCATAACTCATTTGCCTTAGCTATGGAATTAGTTTCATTACATACTTCTGCACTTTCTCCAGTTTCTTAACATGCTTCCCCATGTGTGGGTTCAATACTGGTGACGTGTACTCACAGATGGGTCTGAATTTTCATTTAGAGAACACAATAAAGCAAATGCAGTTTTCAAATTAATTGTGTTCTCATGTCTCAATTATTGCTTTACATTCACAATGCCTTTTATAGCAAAAAGAGTTATCAGAGTGGGAAAATGTTGAGAGGTCATTTACTGCCCACACAAAATCAATAAAACATCTAAACTGGGAATACCTCAAAACATTTGGAATGCACTTTCTGGAATGGAGGAGAGAGAGATCTGATAATATATACAGTGGACCCCCGCATAACGATTACCTCCGAATGCGACCAATTATGTAAGTGTATTTATGTAAGTGCATTTGTACGTGTATGTTTGGGGGTCTGAAATGGACTAATCTACTTCACAATATTTCTTATGGGAACAAATTCGGTCAGTACTGGCACCTGAACATACTTCTGGAGTGAAAAAATATCGTTAACCGGGGGTCCACTGTATATGGAAATACTTAAGGATCAAGTCCTTAATGTACACCACCATAACAACTGGCTGAAGTCGGTGATACAGGACAAAGAATAGAATAAATTGAGTGAAAATCAAGAGTGACAAGGGCACAATTAGAAAACAATGTCTATATCTGTGGCCCAAGACTCGTCAGTCTTCTGCTAGCAGATATTGCCTGAACAAATATGGAAGTTTTCTAGAGGAAATGGCCACTACATGCTCATAATGCCTGATCAGATAGGTTATAATAGTTATGTAGGCTTGCAGGCAGCTTACAGCAATAGCCCAATTAACTAGGAAGTCTGGCATCACGGAGGACTGCAAAGGTAAAAATCATCGAAACTGGTCAGATACAGAGATACAAAGCTGTCTCCTTTTTCATCATAATAGTAGGTTGGTAGACAGCAACCACCCAGGGAGGTACTACCGTCCTGCCAAGTGAGTGTAAAACGAAGCCTGTGATTGTTTTACATGATGGTAGGATTGCTGATGTCTTTTGTCTGTCTCATAAATATGCAAGATTACAGGCATGTCTTGCTACTTCTACTTACACTTAGGTCACACTACACATACATGTACACATTTATTTATACACACTCATCTGAGTTTTCTTTG